TTGATACAGAGCCTCTGGGTCTCCTAACTCTTCCTTCTGCGCAAAGGCTTCACGGTGCATCTTACAAATGTTACAATTCCAAGCTGATACATTTCCAAAAATGGCTACTTCAATCAAGCAACGTGGAGGCAGATGATTGGTGGACGCGTTGACCTCTCCTATTTCCTAAATTATAGAAGATTCCTTTTCTAGGATTTCATATAAAATGATATTTCCTCCAAGAAAATAGGTTGCCAATTATTAACAATTGAAGACGCGCTCCTTCCAATTTACGAGAGATAGCTTTCGCACTTGTGAGAAATTAGCTAGTTGAGAGATTTATGTGCACATACTTGTGTGTGTATTTGGTGTTCTTCTTTACTATCAATAGCAATTCAAATACAACCGACTTGTTCAATACTTCAAGTGTTTTATGTCTTGTTCATTTCTGCTTAACCAACTAATTTCATAGTTATTGCTTCCGCTCATATCTTGACTCAAGCTATGATTATTAGTGCAATAGAGGATCTGGATTCCTACATTACCCATCAATCCTTGAGTTTTATATATGACTAACCAACCCCTTGATTTCTAATTCTCATCATATTGCATAATCAACCACTCTTCTTGTCTTTTGCTTTGTTTTGACCTAAAATATGGTGTTACATGCTAATTCATCATTGATTTAGAACGTTGTAACTTAAAACACGAAACACAACAAATACAAAGAAATTTGTTTACGTAATTTGTTTTTATCAGTAGAACAATTCAACTTGTTACAAAACGTTGTTATTTCCACATTGAAATTAGTTTCCAAGAATACATAAAAGCACTATACTTTTTTTATCTCTTTGTTTTTCTTGGACCAACTATAATATGATATTTTATGAGTATTGAAAAAACTGATTTATGCTAGTTAGCCATCTATAGATAATAATCTAATAAATGGATGTGGTGCTAGTTATTGATGAATGCTATTAATTTCGCTTAATAAAAGGGGGAACCATTTAAAAAAAGGTCAACAATAGAAGCAATGAAAATGACCATTTATGCATCTTTTTTGTTGGATGGTTAAATGGCATTTGGGTGAATCCTAAGGTGCTCACATGTTTGGTAATTGTGTCTCTGCACCAGTTTAGGCACACCTCCATTTATCTTAAGGTGCCTAAAAGTTAACAACTAGACAAATTCAATACTAATTTGATAGAACTCGAATTAATAACTTTTAAGAGCATCTGCAACTAATTTGATAGAACTCGAATTAATAACTTTTAAGAGCATCTGCAATAGATTCTTTAGAATGGGAATTTTGTCTCTATCAGATCTTCCAAAATCTTCTCTAAAATAGAGATACTATTTTTCACTCTTCCTATCAATGAGAATCTTTGAACTTAAATGTAGTAGAGAAAAATAATATTTTATGAAATGAATGAATTTAATATTATAATTCATATATAATCTCCAAAAGGGAGAGATTGTTGGAATTGAATATAAGAAGGTGTTTGAGATTGCTTATTTGAAATAACTTATACTTTTTATAAAAGTTTTTTATCAACTTATTATAATTTAGAATGGTTTAACTTCTTCAAAAATTTCTTATTACCGGTTTGATACATGTATAAGCTGTTTATCCAAACACTCAAAAATGTTTATTACTGGTATCACACCGGAATAAGTCAATAAATTGTTTTTATAAGCAAACCCAAACACCCCCTAAATTTTCTTTAAAAAATTTAACTTTTGAATTTACATTTTAAATAATCTATTAAAAATGTTGTCATACTATCTCCAACAAATTATATTAAACATAGAAAATTAAAATTCTCATGATATTAATGCTCCAATTTAAATAGTTCTCTTAAAAAACATACGAGAGAAGATAAACTTCTCTAAAATTTAATGCCAAAGAGAGAAATAATTTTTCAATTATTTTCCATCACATTTATTATTATTTTATATAATTTTTTTTTAAAAATAAATTAAAATAATATTACGAAATATTTCAATAATATAATTAATATTAAATTAAATATGTTAAAATTAAATATAATTTGTTTTAAAGTCCTTTGTTTTAAACTACTAGTAAGGTATACTGATGTCACAATGTACATCCTGATTTAAAACCGATAACTTAAAACGTCAATTTTGTTTCATTTTTCTTTTGTCTATTTTGATGATAGTTGTATATCTGTACAATGTAACTCGATATAAAATTTTAAATATACGTAAATAAGAATATCTAGTATAGATTTGTAAACCTAATTTTTTATACAATAATCTGTATACATATTTATTAATATAGTATAGATTGGTACCTATTTATGTTGTTTTATGATATTGTTAAATCTAGAAATTTTTAATAATGAGCTTATTTTGAAGGTATTGACAAGATAATTATAATGATATAATGTATATAAAAAACATATTTTTGTATATTTTAATTAGTATATGATTATATGTGTTAATATAATAAACTTGTGTAAAATAAAAAATAAAAAAATAAAATTTTGAGAGTTGTAAAGTAAATTAGACAACTAATTATAAGGGTATAAAGTGTTAAAATAGTTTACGAGAGTTTCCTCATGATTCAAAATACATTCAAAATGACTCATTTATACCCTTATAATTAATCGTCCAATTTACTTTATAATATTTACTTTTTCATTTTATACATTTATTATATAATCATATATTAACTAACATAAATAAATAAAAAATACGTTGACCCAAATAAATTTATAAGAGCAATTTAAATAAAGAATCATCCAGTTTTTTATAGGAGGTTATCAAGAGAAATTAAACTCAAATGATCATTTTCTATATTCAAATTAGCCTTATAATCATTTCTCTCATATGTTGACCCAAGTGTCACTACATCATGCAATATCCATTGCGGAACTAGCTAAAAGACAAAAAAAATGTCAAATTTAACCGGTTTACCGTTGTAATTGTGGACCTGGCCGTCACAATTGCATATCTGACCGTCACAATTACATATATGTGTTGAATTTTTGGCCTTTAGCTAGGTCTGCAATATTACTGACTTGGATATTCTAGAAGTGGTAACATTTGAGTTAACTGAAGGAAAATGTGAACCAGTCTTACCTTCTTTTTCAACATTTTGATCCATGGTCAATGCTGCACCACCTACCACTCATGGATGCTCTTAATTCTGACAGAAGCTCTATCTGGCACCATGACTGCAGTATGCAATTATTTATGTGAATTTCTCTCACAAAATTAACAAAATAAAACCCTCTAATTATCAATCTAATTTCTTAAAAGTAACTAAGGAGAGGTTCATGTTTTTAGGGTAGCATATGCAAGTAGAGGTTGCTAAAAATGGGCCCGGGTTCGGTCCCCGTTACAAAATAGTAATCTTGTAACTGGTTCCATCGTAATTGGTCTTAGTCCTGATCCAAATATGAAGGCTCGATTAAGATGTATGAGGCTCGGTTATGAGAACCGGTTTTGGTCCCAGTTCCGGGCTGGGCCCAAACCGGTCTTATATAAAAAAATTAAAATGTGATTTTTAACGTAATCTTTTTTTTTTTTTGAATTTTTTTGAAAAAATACAAAAGTATTATTATAATACACTTGAAAATATGTAATTGCGTTAATAGAATACACATTAAAAAATACGTTTTTACGAGAATTATGCACGTTTATGAGTTGATATCTTCCTCGATACACCATATGACTTATATATTGTGAATAGAGGGTAAATGGGACGATTAAATACACTTAAAAATACGTGTTATTATAATTTTGTAATTGATTTTCAATCAAAAAATTAGAAATATCTTTAAAAATACATTTTTTTTGGAAAATAGGGCTTGGCCTTCTTTTTCGACGAAAACCATAACCGGTCCTTAACTGGTCCCAATCGGTCCGGACCAGACCGGTCCTCCGCCAATCCTGGGCCGGAACTGACCCATTTGGCCATCTCTATATGCAAGACAAGATTGGATTAGACGGGCATAATAAAGGTTAGGATTAGATAGGACAAGATTTAATCTATCACTGCTCTCAATTTCAATAGTTGATAACCCCTCTTGACCTTCACTATAAATTTGATCTACAAAATACATCATCGATCTCAATTTTACAATTATAAACATAGATGTATTACTATAATATTTATATCCAAAATGCATAAAAATACTATGAAAAACAAAACAAAGTCACTAACTATATTCATAATGCATAAAGAAATATAATTACAAAATATACTAAATACATAAAAAAACATACTAAAAANAAAGATGTAAAATTAAAACATAAAGATATAAAACAAATTAATTCATAGATATTTATGATATTTATTCGTACGATTAAATGTAAAAATATTTAATATTAAACTTATTTTGAAGGTATTGATGAAATAATTGTCATCATATATACTTTGTAAAAAAAGGAAAAGAGGAACGTAATTTTTAATGTATTTTTGTTCATATGATTATTTATGTTAATATAACAAGAGTAAGGGCCGTTTACACAATTGCTTATTCGGTAAGCGCTTACCGATAAGAGTCAACACTATGATTTATTTTAATACGTAAGATTTTAGTATATCAAAACATATCAAATATAACACTTTATTGGGTAAACGCTTACCTGGGTAAGAGTCGTCATCTTCATTTACAGAGTAAGACTCTTCATCATTCTCATCGCTCTTTCCTGGTAAGATTCTTTACCATTATCATGTTCATCCGATGAAGAAACTTATCCGGTAAGTACTTATCAAGTAAATGTTTAGTTAACGGACCTAAAAATATAAAATAAATTATAAAAATATAAAATGTAATTTAAAGATTACAATTTATTTAAAAATAAAACTTGATATATATATATATATATATATATATATATTAAGCTTACAAATTAGTAGCTCTTAAATTTGAAAATTAAACATCAAAAAGAAAATCCAAACATATGGTTTAGCCAACCATCTATAAATATGCCAAAGATTAGGGGGTCTGGGTACAAAATTTCCGAATTCAATGATCCAAGGAAGAAATTGGATCGACACAAAGTGCTGTCAAGATTATCGGATAATGCATTGTTTGGGTTGACGTGGGAAAGATAAAGATGCTTGCTTAGCTTTTGATTTTGAAAGGGTTTTACATTCTGGATCGTAGAAACAGGGACGACGATACACAACCCAAAACATGAAGATCATGGTGGCTATAAAACGAGTAGTTGACTACGCCGTCAAAATCCGAATCAAATCCGACAAGGTAAACACCTCAGGATTCAAAACCCAAATCCTCAATTTCCCCCAAAATTCAAATTTCTCATTGATTTAGCTCAAAATGTTATGTATAGACCGGAGTCGAGACGACCAACGTGAAGATGTCGATGAACCCTTTTTGCGAAATTGCTCTTGAAGAAGCACTTAAAATCAAGGAGTCTGGATTTGCTTCGGAGGTGATTGCGGTCAGTATGGGTCCAGCTCAGTGCGTCGACACTCTCCGCACCGGTCTAGCCATGGGTGCGGACCGTGCGATTCACGTCGATGCACCAGCTACACTATTCCCACTTTCGGTTGCTAAGCTTCTTAAAGCACTTGTTGAGGTTGAAAAGCCTGGACTTCTGATTCTTGGCAAACAGGTTATTTTTTCTATAGATTTAATTTAATACAAATGGTTTTTTTTTATGGAATGAATTTGTGGGGTTGTTATGTCGATATTGAAGTATTTCTACTCTTTGGAGTCTGAAAGGCTTAAAGATTGTGTGAATCATGTCGGTCCTTGCATTCTATGGTCTAATTCGATTATGTGTTTTAAGTTAATTCTACCTTCATGGTTTTAAGATTGCTTCTGCAAATCATTTGATTGCATGAATCTTAAAATCTTTTAATGATTACTCTGAGTGCTTCTGCGATGAGAAACGGATTAAGGGTCAGTTCGAATTAGAGCAAATTGTTGTTGGGATCTGCTAATTAGATCCCAGTGAATGTGGCCTTGAAGTTATATATTATGTCATACAATTTGGGGTATAGGAAGGTATCAAAGCTATGGCATGATCTCTGTGTTTTATGCGATATATGATGCTAGTTGAAGGAGTAATTTTGATCTATAACTGCATATGTTACTTGTTCTTGAATATGGCTATGCAGAATTATGGGTTGGATCATAAGTGTTTTTGACTGTTAAATGATTTTTAAGGAGGATCTACCAAAGATTTAGCTGTTTTGCTTATATGTATTTGTCCAAAGGGGTATGCCTTTTCTTTATTTCTTGAGCAGCCTCGGTTTATATAGATTGTTTTGCTAGTACTTCTTTCTATTTGTGTTGATGTTGTTTACTCGTATCTAGCTTCTTTCAAATTTTAGCATATATGTACTTCTCCCATTCACAGACTTTTAACCGGCTTAGGTCTGCATACATCTTACCCCTAGAACCCACATCCGGATGGGATATACTTGGCTCATTTGGTTTTATGTATTTTATAGTTTGGTGGAGTAATTATGAGATGCTGACAATTGAATGTGTAGGCAATTGATGATGATTGCAATCAGACAGGGCAGATGGTAGCTGGGCTTCTAAACTGGCCTCAAGGGACCTTTGCTTCCAAGGTTAGTGCAGTGCCATCAAGCCGACCATAAATTCTTCTAATTGATAATAGTAATCTGAATCCCTAATTCAGCTAGTTAATTTCTTATGTAGAATGCAATGATTGATGAAACCCCATTCTATTTTGGGGGAGCAAAGTGCATATTTGAATATTCGGATCGCCATTTCCATGTTTACCATTATAATCCAACACTTAAATACACTACTCCCACAAATAGAGATTCATATACCCATAGGGTTGGTTTCCGGTTAGAATGGAAGTTATGGTGATAAGGGTAAAAATGGATCTCTACCCTTAGATCGATCCTAATTGATGATCAACACTAATCCGGTGCACAAGATGCACCGGATCAATTCCCGTGATAAATGCAATTCATGGGGTGGGAGTGAGATTAAAAATGATCAAGGGTCCAGATCCCTTCTTGATGTTTGGTTTGATTTATTTGATCAACTAATCTTTCTCTATTTAAAAAGATGTGAATTTTTTCTTAAAAACACTTGTGTCCTATTAATTAGGACATCCTTGATGCTTTTACATAATGTTTTCTCTATTTATAAAGAGAACCTATATAAATAAGTGTATATATATATACATATATATAGTAGAAGGGTTGGGTTCACGTGAGACCAGGCTGTTTCCGTGAGACCATATTTTTACACTTGAAACTTCACAGCAAAAACACTGTGAAGGTTTAAAAAAGTCGAACCTTCATAGCAAAAACACTGTGAAAGTTACCTTCACAGCATTTTGCTGTGAAGTTTCAAGTGTAAAAAGCTGGTCTCACGGGTCTCACAAAAACAGGCTTGTCTCACGTGATCCCAAGTCTATAGTAGAAACCTAATGCTTTATGGTGGAACATAAATGCTGATCATACCCATCTTGCTGCACATGCAGTCAAGTTCTTATAAAGATTTCTCATAAAAGAAATCCTAATTTACAATCGTAATGTATGCATGATATTAATCCTTTGTTGCTTTCGGAAAAGTTCGTTTCCTCTTCATATATGAATAATGGTTGGTTTTCATCACCTACTCTTCTTAAATATTTTTATGCTCAACTTCATTTTCTTTTGATTCTGCTTCTCAAGGTGGTTCTCGACAAAGAGAAGAACGTAGCAACAGTTGATAGAGAGGTGGATGGTGGGCTTGAAACGTTGTGCTTGGACTTGCCAGCGGTTCTCACGTAAATCTTTATTCTTCGTTCGACCATTTTTTTTGGTTCATCATATGTGGAACTCATGTAAATCTCTCTTTAAAAGAGGCTTTATAGAGACAGAAAGGTTCCTATATATATATATAGAGGTTAGCACATAGCCAGATATGAGACTTCAACACACCCCCTCTAACAGAGGCTAGATGGTGCCCTGAGAAGAACATAGGCTATATATATATTTTGTATCTATACGAGCCAACTTGTGATGTTATGAAATGCAGGGCGGATTTAAGGTTGAACCAACCGAGATATGCAACGCTCCCGAACATAATGAAGGCGAAATCGAAGGCGATAAAGAAAATGACAGCAGAGGAATTGAAGGTAGAAATGAGGTCTGATATGGAGGTTGTTCAAGTGATAGAGCCCCCAAAGAGAAAGGCAGGGGTTATTGTTTCTTCCGTGGATGAATTGGTAGACAAGCTTATGAATGAAGCCCATGTAATCTAAACGCATTATGTATTATCTTTTCTCATAATCATGCTTCGATTCTTCTTCAAAATATATACTTATAATAAATAAGTAATTCGGGTGACACGTGTCATATTATGGTAAGTCGGTTTTCTTGTTTTTACGCCTAAACACGTATTTAGACATAATTTACATTAGTGGTTTAATTAGACTTTTTTGAACGAGTCAATACACAATTTACATTAACAGTTCAATTACATTTATTTAATTGACATGTGTCATCTTATTCAATCAAATCCACTATTTTAGGATGCAAATGATTTTATTCTTGGGTTAATTAATTTTTGTAGTAAATAATTCTTGAAAAAAATGGTTTTTATTTCTAAGTTTAAATTTAATTTATTGATATACTTACATTTATAAATTCAATTTTATTTTAGGGTTAACTTCATTTTATTCTAAAGTTAATTTACTAAAAAGTTTTATTTCATAGTTATTTCAAGAGAACAAGTTTGAAGTTATTCTTTAGAGTTAATTCACCTGAACTCGGAAGTTTGTTATTTCAGACATAGCTCACTCGAACTCTAAAGTCTTCTTTTTCAGACTTAGAAGTCTGAACTCTGAATTTTTTTTTATACTTAGAAAAAGAAGTCTGGAGTCTTCTTTTTCAGACTTAGAGGTCTGAACTCTGAAATCTTCTACAATTCTGAATAGTACAAGTCTGAAGAGTAATTCTTCAGAGTTAACTCACTCGAATTCTGAAGTCTTCTTTTCAGGCTTAGCTCACCTGAACTCTAAAGTCTTCTTTTCAGACCTAGCTCACCCGAACTCTGAAGTCTTTTTTTTTCAGACTTAGAAGTCTGAACTTTGATTTAAGGGGATTGATTTTTTACTTCAGAGTTATTTCAAGAGTACAATTATGTAGAGTCATTATTCAGAGTTTTATTTTAGAGTTATTTCCATAGTACAAGTGTGAAGAGTCATTCTTCAAAGTTCGCTCACCCGAACTCTGTAGTCTTCTTTTCCAGATGGAGCACGATGTAGAGCCTCTGCATAGTGCATGCAGAGCTTCTGCCTTGCCTATACAGAGCTCTGAAGTATGTAGAGTTTTACTTCAAAGTAATTTTAAGAGTACAAGTCTTGTAATAAACTTATCTAGACTTTGAAGTTAAGTCTCTAAGACTTAGACTTAGTCTTGTAAGCTAGAGCCCCTTTGGCTGGTTTGGCTTCTGGGAACCTTGAAAAAATATTCCAATCCATCATAATGGAACCAGAGGGGATCTAGTTGATCTTCATGTTTAAACAAAGTGTTGGTCCCAAAAGGGTCTACAAGAATACTAAACAGTTTGTAGAAGGGGGGGGGGGG